AAAGCAAGGTCCAGCTGATGCTCATAGGGCCTTCGGGGGTGGCAACCGCCAAAGCAAGGTCCAGCTGATGCTCATCAAGCTTTTTTCATTGTGTGCATTTTCACTTAACCTAGGCTACGCCTGGTTGATGTTCAGAGCCTAACATTCAGCCTGCACCAAGTCGACCCGATCCCATGGATTGTGACCAATTCAATCACAACTGGTCTTCGCTGATATTCCAGTCGGGTGGCCCATAAACTGCATCAGGTTTGTAGCTGGGAAGCAATGTCATTTTCAGAGGGGCATGTTGATGATGATGGTCTTGGATGTGTGGCTCATGTCGTCGGTGTTCTTGTTTGCTTTGTTGTAGCTGTTGTTGCAGTCGTGTGCCCGTTGTTAATTTCAATCCAGATGTTTTGGCTGTTAAGGTTTTGTATCTTCATGCCACAAGAGGGCTTTGAGTGTTTCAACCGTATGCCACTCTGCGAAAACAGGATTCGCGAAACGCTTGTTACAAGCAATCCCACAAGTAAGCCCCACGGCATCCTGAACAGCGCTTCATGTGGAATTCCCAAAACAAGTTGTAATCTTGATCAGGACCTCAAAACGGACCCACAAATTTGGCAGACCTCTTCCAGATCCCCTCCCTATGGCTGGAAGCCTTGTAAACCGCCGCTTAACGATTAGGAGCCCTGAAGCACTAAACCTTCCCAAGAGGGACCACATTTAGGGAAACCCATAAACCCAACCTCTGCACCCTCATATCCTTATGCCAGAACCCCACAAACTCAAAGCAATTTGGGAGAAGCAGCTAAGGAATGGTCTGGACCTTGGCCTTCGTGGGTACATTGCGTGAGAACTAATCTACAGAAGTTGCCACGGCCAGTCTTCCCGGATGTATTAAATGGGGCGTATATGGGGATATATTGGGGTTATCTTGGGATCATGGAAAAGAAAATGGAAACTAGTGTTTTCCCTGCAGGAAATTTAAGGCAGGTTTTGCCCGTGGTGGCCCTCTACCTTGCATGTTTGGAGCAGCTTTGTGCATGCCATGCCTGCCTGACCTTGTGTGTGCACAGATCCAGGGGCATCTGAAGAGGAGAAGTGGAGTTTGCCACGGTCTCTCCATGGGCTCTTCCTCCCTCCATTACTACCCTAAAGGCCCAGCCCAGCCCCAACCCCCAAATCCATTGAAATTGTAATTTCTCAAAATAAATATACCAGAGTCCTTAATCTAGGGATACCCGCAAAAAAGGACCTCTAATTTCGGGATTCGGGAGACCTCTCAAATGGGACAAGCCGAGGTCCGCTTCATGCGATTCTTCCCCGAGCTTCTGACGCTGGTGCGGGGCATGGTGCGGGCCATGCAGCCGGAAACCTCAGCCTTGGCTTCGTAACAGTGAGAGTAAGAATACCATGCATAATAAGAAGAAGAAAAGAAGTATATGAGTAACAGTAGTAAGAATAGTAATAGCAATAATGCTTAGCAAGAATAGTAAAGCCATAACAATCGTAGTAAGGATTTGAGCTGTTCAAGTGTAGGGAGGGGTTTCATTGGGTACAGGGCTGGTTTTTGGTGGCTAAGGAGTTTCGCATTCAGCCTCTTTTGGAGACGTAGGGAAAGTGCAAGTTTTATATCCTTGTGGCCTTTTTGCCTATCCAGTCTGTAGGAGAGTCTGAGGATCAGATCTGACACGACATGCAAAGCTGCGCAGAGACAGATACCACAGGTGCATGTATGTGAGAATTTGTAGGGTGTATCTTTGTGTAGCTGTGCAGTGGGAGCAGCTTCGTTCCTGCCCCGCGGGTAGCTAGGCTGCTTCCGTTCCTGTGCTGCTAGGTCAGTAGCCTGGATCTTGCTGTTCTTGCTGATCGTGACTTATGTTTTCGCTGCTGGGCTGAAATCGAGAGCTAATCCCTGACATGTGAAAGTGGCAGCTGTGGAGGCCATCATCTTCACAAGTCAGCTGGGAACTCCGAACTACACAAGACCCCCCGACCTCATCGATGCCGAGGACCCATTGGACGCAGCCTTACCTGCCTTCAAGAGTCGCAGGGAAATCATCTGCAGAAAAACACGTGATCATCGTTTATGTCTTTCATACATAGTCCAAAAACTACTTCCGGAATGCAGCGCCATGCTCTTCAGAGTCTTTTGCTTTCATTCACAAGCACTGGAAGGCTTCCCGCATCCGGCTGTGACCCAAGGCCCCCGAGCTCTTCAGCGACATGGGCTCTAGCATGATGTCGCTCTTCACACATGGGATTTTGGGTGCCTCGGCGCATCTTGCTTCCTCCGCTCCAGGGCAGACTATTTGGGGAGCGCAGCTTGCCAGGGCTAGGGGCAGTGCAACGAGAAATCAGTGCGCTAGAGCCTCCGCTCTCTTTGGACCGTTCCGCACAGGTGACAACCTGCACTACTTTCTGATCACCTTGCGGGAGGAAAGCCGCACCAGAAAGAAGCAAGAAGAAGCAGAAGAGCAGAAAAGTGAACGTGGTCATGCAAGTGCCTGTCCTTGGGGCTGATGGCAAGTTTGGACAATGGATCCCAAACAGTTCATAGAGCAATACCAGAACGAATGATTGTGCAGGACAGCATTCCTTTGATGTGGCTAGGCATTGTTTTTCTCGTGTTGTCTCTTGGCTGCAAGGTTGTTGGAGCTGGCTCACCACAGGTAGCCTTTTGTTACCGTGCCCACATCATGGTTATCATCGCTACTACTACGAATTTCTACTCCCACTGTTGCTACTACCACCACACCGCCGACGCCGCTGCTGCTGTTTCTTGTTCTGCTACAGGAAGCATGGACCGGTGACTCAGGTGTGGAATCAGCCTTCTCAACATGCTCATCGGTATCCTTTGCCAGGCCCATCCAATGAGTTTTCATTTTTCACTCTGGTTTACGTTTTCTGGGTTTTGCGGAGGGGCTGGGGAAGGCATAGCTCTAACGAGTTCAGTCATCAAAGGAATTGTGCAGGCTCTCATGGGAACCCGGCCGTGAAGAAGGGGTCAAGACGGCATTTCTGAACGGACCGAGACCACAAGGTCCTCAGCATTGAAAGGTAGATTCTGCTTCCAAACTCAACCTCTATTCGACCCAAGTGATCATACATGAAAGCTATTTACATTTGAATGTTTCGTTCGAACAGGATTCTCACGGATCCCAGGTAGAAAGACTAGTTTCAACTTTCCCTCCGAGTGATTCTGATATGCCCAAATAGGAGAAAAAGCTGTTTTACTTCAGCCACGAAATCGTAGCAGCTCATGCGTGAAGCAACACGCAGGTGATTGCTGACAGAGCCTTGCCTGCGATTAATTCCTTTGCAGGGTGCCCCATTCTTGGTCATAATGTGTGTTTGTGTGTGTGACCTCTTGTTGATTTTTTCCTTCCACTCTTCCACGAAGGTTCGGAAGAAGAGGCGAAAGCACGAGAACAGACCGATCTGGAGAGGCTCTTGCTGGAGCTCTTCCAGGCTGGAAAGCGAGGAATTGCGGCGAATCCCGTACAAGGTTGCAGGAGACGTTTCGCGTTAGGGAGCCAGGTGCGCGATTAGACCCTTTTTTCTTCTGCGGCTATGGTCGGCCGATTGAGCACAGCCATGGCATGCAGGCACCACACTAGCTTGAAGTCGTTCTGGTGCGGTAAAGCCGGTAAAGCGAAAGGAGCGGAAGATGTAGCGTGGACGTATGTCAGAGGCCGCCGATACAAATGGAGATGGTGCCATCTCCGAAGAGGACACAAAGTGCCAATTCTACTCCGAACTCGTCGGCGATCTACACAGAGAGATTCAGCTAACCGGAGTGACTTACCTTGCAAAGCAGCCAAGCAGATGCGATGCGCAGGAGTGGTCGCGAGTGGCGTCGAGCGGACGCTGTCAGCGACTCCTGCAAAGGCAACTCAGGGACCAGGGGGGGCTGATACTTCATACTGCCTTCTCGGCCTCTTGAGTTCTTAAGTAACAAAGATCCGGGTCCTGCACGAGCGACCCACGATGGCATCACAATAATTGTCCTTCACAACAGACACATGCAAAGATGGCTTGGTGCAGGCTGAGCGGGTATCTGATGCAGGAAGGTGCTATAGGTGGCTCTCAGTGCTTGCATCACGGCAACAGGGTCCTGATAACAATAACTCAGTAACAGATAATATGATACGTCACATCTCAGGAGCTGTGTATTGTAAATGGGGGGGCTTCAACAAAGGGCTCACCCTAAAGCACCCAAGCATTACCATCCTCAGTATAAGCAAAATCTAAATTTTAAAAGTGGACCTGCAACTGATCAAAACGGCTGCAACCCCCTAAACCCGAAACCTTGATTGGGCTGCTGGTAAGGAACATAAGCAAAGTTGCCATAACTCCATAACAAGGAAACCGTATCATTGACAATAATATACCCAATTTAAGTTCCGGAAAAGCAACCGAGTCTAAGGTGAGAGAGGTCCTAACAAACACGCGTCAACAGCAATTAAGTTGAACGTGACAGGCTGGACCTGGATGAGCGCAAGCCTGTAGCAGATCGGCTCTCGGAGCTCCAGAAAACCATTTTTGGAGGCGGCACTGGGTGAAGATATGCGGAATTTCCAAAAGTTTGAGGTCCCACGTTAAAATAGAAATAAAAGCAATGCAAGGGGCATATGAGGGGCACGTACTCATGGAAATTACCGTGAAAATGGCACATGGAAGTTCTTCCAGTACAGTTAATCCCTCTACTATCCAGAAGGATCCTAACACCCAGAAACAAGCATAATGGAGATTTCACTGAGGGCAAGAAGAAGGACTATGCAGTGAGGCATGCGGTGATAGACAGGGATGGAATCGTGAATTACAAGCTTTTGAGTCCAACCATCAATAACTACCAATAGGCCCTGTAAGCTCAGAATTGGGAAAAGCATCATGGGATGACAGAAACAGTGAAAAATATGTTCAATAGAATTGCTGGAATGGGTAGACATGGAATGCAGGAATACGAGATGACGACGACAGCGAGGTGGCTCGGCTGCATATCATTTTTTTGCACCGGAAGTGCGCAGAACTTGTTACAGCTTCTTTCAAAGAAAACAGAAGACATAGGATCAGACCATGGTATACGACATTGTTCGTGCCTTCAGTTTCCCCAAAAGGCGTTCAACTAGAAGCGATTTCGGGACCCTCAATAAGAGTGCCGTGTCTAGAAGTGGTTTTCTTTCAAACTGAGGAACTTGCAGGGAAGAAAGTCTTCCTGGACTTTGATCAGTTTCAAAGCCAGGCCAGGCATCAAAGAGAAAAGATGCAAGTGCAAGTCTAAACCCTATAGGGTTTACTCTTCAAACTGTGGGCCTTCTTTGGCATGGGCGACCCTTAAATGTACATATGGGGTGTAGATATATACATATAGAGAGAGATACAGATATAGCATCCCAGGATTAGGGGCCCATACTGGAGCCCATGGTTTCAACCGTAGAGGCTTCAATCACGACCAGCAAAGGCGGATGAAACTTTTTTTGTTCACATAGACAGCCCTGCATGGCCCGCCAAAATGTTGTGAGATCCTTGTATCGCAAGCCCCAGATCTCCAAGAAATGTGTTCCCAGCCTTCTGGATCTCAAGCCCCAAACGGCGAAACCATCCAGAAAGCTAATGACAACAGACTGAGAAATTGGAAAGAGTGCCCCCTCACAAGCTCATATGGATATGTTGTAGATATACACACTGAAAGTACATCACATGCTTTCTTTGCATTTGATCCGGCCTCACACGACTAAACATTAGAATCCTTACACATTGATAGTGTTTAGGCCCCCTACTTGAAACCCTGGAGGTCTTAGATCTGCGGAAAAACGCTGGTATTGGACCGTTCGACCTCAGAAGGCTTGAGACGAAAGTGCAGCAAAAGGAGCGGTTCTTGGGAAGCTGTGAGATTTGGAGGTTTGGGCGTTGAAGGGGTTCAAGGTGAAGGGATCTAGGAGTTTGGGGTGTAGGCTGAAGGCTGCGGCGTGCGTGCCATGGGGTTCAGGTTTGTATAAGCGGAACCTTATTTCGGAGAAGTTACATGAAAGCAAGTTGCAAGTTTTAGCTTCAGTTGTCTTGAGTGTAGATGTTACAGGCGAACTCGCTCACGAAGTGTTGCTTACACTCATGGGTATAACTGCTCATTTGTAAGTAGTTTGATTCTTTGAGTAGTACATCGGATGCAGCCCCATAAGCTCCTTTGCTCCGACAGCTCTCAACCCTAACCCCTGCTCACCTGAAGCCATAACCAGGTTAAGATCTGTCATGCCCCTCGCTCACTGCAACATCCGCTCCAGAATCCAGATCATCAACTCCAAGAGGTGGCGCCTCAGCGTTTTGCTACGAACCTCCATTAGTTCGGACTACACCTGAATACCTCAAGCCCTGAACCTGATGACACCTGAACATTGAGACCTTGCGATACTGTATGGCCATACAAGTGGCAAAAATAAACCGAAACCCCACAACCCTTCCACCCACCCCCCCACAAAAACCCTCGAAATTCTGGGCCCCAAGCTCCCAGTTTCAGAGGATCGGCTCCTGGGAGTGAGGCTGGCCGGTCTCCAAGCCGACCTCCGGCAGATCCTCCGGGATGAGCTCCCCAGCTCCCCAGGAAGGGATATGGGTACATGATGGTGGTGCTGGAAAAGAACATAGAAATTCTTGCAACTATACAGGTGTTTACTGTTGGGATCCCTTGGTCATTCTTCAACTTTGGGGAATTTAGGCCATGAGGTTTCTGTGGGAAGAGGCAAGGTTGCGATTGCTCTGGCGGCTCTTCGTAGAATCAAGCGGAGCCTAGCCACATGTACAGCATTTGGGTTTTGGGTTCATGGGGTTAGTTTAGGGTTTAGACTTGCTTGGATGAGCTAAACTCACAACGACCCATGTACACTTTGGAAAGCCGAAGAAGGCAAGCGCTGAATTTTCGATACAATCCCAACACCCTCCCGCTTAGCAAAGGAGCGCCCCTTATCCCCACCGATGACAGCTTTCGGAGGTACTTCTTGTGTGCCTGGCCGATGTAAAGAGCCTCGGAAAGGAAAAGTGCAGTGTAGTGCGCGTTGCATCGTAGATAGTCATGAAACAGATTTCTTGAGCCCTCTCCTACCTACGAGAAAGCTTCTTGCCGCCGAGGGGAATCACTTGCACTGCCTACCCCAGCCCCTCAACCCAATCCCCAAGCAGCCCCACAGCAGCACAAGCCTTTGATTCCCCTGGCAGGAAAAACTCCGACGCAAGAGAAGCTTCTGGTGCAGGAGTTTGAAGAGCCGGAGTGGGCCGTGCTTCCGGGCACTGCTGAGGTGCGGGTCTCCATGTTGATCCCCCCTAAGCCCCCAAACCTGCAAAGCCTACAACCCTGAACTTCCTCAGGAGCCGCCACTTCCAGAAAGGCCGCGGACGCCGGCAGTTCCCAACGGCATGCCTGGAACCCAAGCGCAGCATGCCTAGCCTGCCTAGCCTGGATCATATGGTAATTTCCCCAAATAGGGGAACCCCAATATAGACCCGATATGCTGTAGTCCTTATTATTGGGGGGGCCCCGAAAGGTATCCCTAATGTTGGGTAACCCCCATACATCAGGGCTATGTCGGGACAGGAGGTAGAGGGGTAGGCCTTTCATGGATTTCTAGGGCTGGACGAAGCAATAATAGTAGAAGAAGCAACGTTTGGTTTAGTATTGTTATGATGCTCTGCACAATGTCTTTTAATCGCATTGTTCAGCAAATCCATGATCCTTACTCCTCGTGTCTTCATGTCTGGAGTTCTTGGTAGGTGCACCTTTAGCCATGAGGGCATCACTGATGACGAGAGGGTTGAAAGTTCAAAGTTTCAGGTAAGCGCCCCTGAAGGACCACGCTTACTCCAGCATCCTTAAATTCCTCATGATTGTTCCATCCTCATAGATTCCCAAAGAATGGGACGTCCTGGTCTCATTGGTGAAAGCCTGTAAGGGTGCGTTGATACCTCCCCAAAGCCTCGAAGCAGAAGCCTACGTCCATCTACGATATGCTGGAAAGCCAAAGGTGATCTGAAAGTTGAATCTCCCAATTCGGCATGTTTTTTTATTGCAATGACTCATGTGGGCCATCTTTGTTGGATCCCTGCACCTAAATGGAAAGCCCTATGTTCCCTCAGTCCGGCATCCCACAAGCTTTTTTTCTGGATCACTCGGAGTTTTTCGGTTGACAAGAGGCAGCCGGTTCTGCCTGGGCAGCTGGAAGAGGTAGAGGTAGGGTTGGGAGATTTTGCGGTTTGTAGAGGCTATCGTGTTTGACTTGGAGAGTGGTGGGCTGATTATGATAGACGTCAAACACGTATTAGCAATCAATCATTGGAAAATTGGCACCGGGCGATGATGGATACCATCAAGAATGGCTCGTGCTCGTTCGTGAAATTAGTATAAATGCGCACGTGTAGAGCAAACAGAAGTTCGTAGAGTGAATAGACTGCTATGGGCACCCGGAGGCAAAATCGATGCAGGACTACTTACTCTTCAGTATACAAAAAGAACATAAACATGTTCAGAAGCTCCTCAATATTGCAACGCTTCAGCGACAAAGGGTTGCTCGGCAATCCGACCCCTCCGACGATCATACAGGGTCCTGATTTTCAGGCTAGAGTTCCCAAAAAGAATCTGCAGACGTGCAAGCTGAAGCCTAGGCACCAGATCCATGAACCCAAAAGGCCCTCAACCAGAGACCCGAGTTGCCGTGCAGGTTCAAGCAGAGGCTCCCAAAACCAAAAGGGAGTGGCTGCGCGAGGCGGGCGACTAAATCACCTTCAGAAACAATAGCCCCCCACCCCCACCTCCAATCATAATACACCCCGCCCCCAAAATACCATCATTCTACCTTTGGGGGAATGTTTATGTTTGGGGGCGGTGGGGATGTCTAGTACTGAGAAAGGGGAAGGGGATTGCCATGTTCGCCGTTATTTGCGTACTATGGTGATTGTTAAAGACATTTGTTCTTCTTGCTATTGTTGATGTATGTTTCAACCTACTTATAGATGCATCCAAAACCCAAGGATCAACCCATTGACCTCCAATACCCCCAACTGTCTTGCTGGTTGTAAGTAGGGAGTGCAGGCGCGGAAATGAAAATGGGATCATTGCTCCGCTGGCACTGGGGAGAAGATGAGCAGCAACAGGTCCTGTTCCAACCTGTTTAGCACCCGTGCCCGGATCCTAAGGGATTTGGAAATTAGATGTCTCCACCTTTGCATGGCAGTCCCCCAGACAGCCTCGTGGCCTCGTATACATTGCAGTGTTGATGTGTAGAGTTGCATACCACAGCTATCTCTAGCCCTGCACTGTACCTGCAACCTGTAACCTTAAAACCTAAATCGGATTGTGCGCCAGTGGTGATTCAGAAAAGCTTCGGTTTTGAAGCGCGAAGCTCCGAAGCCACTTGCTTCTTTTTTAGGGGGCGGAGCGCGAAGCCACTTGCTTCATTTT